GGAAGAGCATTACACTCAGGAAATAAGAGCTTCCTGGTGGTCCCTGACCCAAGAGAAGTCCAGCTGTCCTCAACCAGGGCCAGGGCTTTCTCAGCCCTGGCCCCCACCTGGTGGAATGCTCTGCCAGAAGACATCCATGCCCTGTGGGAGTTGTTACCTTTCCACAGGGCATGCAAGGCAGAAATGTTCCGCCGGGCCTTTGGTTAAGGACAGCGATGATGCGTCCTTTGGCACTCTCATATAATTCCCCAACTCATGTAACTCCTCCCACCAGAGGGGCTGGGGAGCTAGAATTCTGACTGCCATCTTATATATTGTCTGTATGTTGTTTTTATCTACTGGTATTTATTGGGCTGTTTTAATTTAGTTTTAAACTGTGATTTGTGTATTATATTGTTGTAAGCCGCCCTGAGCCCTACTTGTAGGGAAGAATGGCCGAGTAAATCCAATTTAATAAATAAATATTGTAAAGCAAACACTGATGATCCACCTTCTTGGCAAACTTCAGCTGTGTCTTCAAGATTTTTTATTGTCAGGCAGACACAAGTAATCTGGTATTTTTCACAATACTTTCAGACATAGGTTTATCAAATAATAGCCCATATAATCATATGATTTACGTATTTAGAGGACTGATAAGCTACCCCTCTGTAGACCTACAGGTTTACTCCTTCAAAATCTTCAGTGAAACAGGAGACGAAAACAGCCATAGCTTCCAGAGTTTCGTCCTGGGTACTTTTGACCATCCTATCCCCTGTACCCTTGTTAAACTCATCTACAACCTTACTTTTTAAAGTGGGTCAGTGTAAGGGAACAAAAAAGGAATAACCGGGAGAAGCCACAGCTGCTCAATAGCCACTTCACACTGGCAGTCTTTAAAGCAGCAGCTGGACAAACACTTGTCAGAGATGCTCTAGGCTGATCCTGCATTGAGCAGGGGGCTGGACTAGATGGCCTGTATGGCCCCCTCCAACTCTCTGATTCTATGACTCTTAAGGCTAATTGCCAGACTGCATCCTTGCAACTCTACTCAGGGTTAGTATAAAAAGTCTTTAGGGTTAGTATAAAATTAACTTCCTAAATCCTAAAATTTAGGACAGAAAGTTCAAAACAAGCTTCCAGCATGCATAATACACATTGACAGGGACTACTGATAGCACTGCAGTAGAGGTAAGAACTTTATGAATCAAGCAGCTATTTAATCTACCAAAATGCTATTGTTTAAACAAGCTCCCAATCTAGCTGACCCACACGTGCACTTATATTGTTTTGCAATATGTGCAGAACAGAATTGTACAGGAGAGCATTCGTCAAAGGAGCCACATTCTATTGGTTCGGCTCAGGAGGTGGCGTTTATTAGGGTAACAGTTTTCTCCATACTAATGGTCTTCTTCCTTAAGCAGATATGTTTGGTCATGGTGCTCTCATGCTTTCAAACATACTGTACAATTCTAGCACAAAGCATTATTTTTACTAGAAATCTTTGCTGTGATTCAAATGTTAAATGTTCTGCTTACTGACTAAAAAGTTATCATACTTGTGATCTTCCGAGTTTCAATGAGAAAAGGAGACCTTAAATGATGACAATAATAACATTTATTATGTCCACTACCAATTTTTGTAAAGAATTAACATGTTTGTATATTTACTTCATTTATAACCTGCCTTTCTCTCCCATGGAGACCCAAAGCAACTTACAGCATTTTCCTGTCCTCCATTTTATCTTCACAACAACCCTGTGAGGTAGGTTCAGCTGAGAGTGTGTGGCTGGGCCAAGGTCACCCAGGAAGCCTCCATGACAGACTGGGGATTCGAACCCAGGTCTCCCAGATTCTAGTCCGACACTTTAACCACTAAACACCATGCTGGCTCTCCTAACATACTCCAGGAGATTAGCTTACTCCAGTGTTCAGTCGTGTTAGCAGAAGATTAACAGTGAGGCCAGCCTTGGAAAACACACATTCCATAAGCACAAGCAGTCCTGGAACGCACAAGTAACCCTTTGCCAGTTTTCCAAACTTTTTACTGTTTTTGCACCTCTGCACTGCAGTAGGCTCAACTGTTTCAGAACCAAAAGTTGAAACCTTAGATTAAGTGCAAGTTTATCTTTCTAGCAGTGGGAACAGCCACATCAAATGCAAAAAAAGATGCTTCAGCTGGGTGAACAGTTCTGCCCCAGAATATCACAACGACATTTCAAAGCAAGCTGTACTTACACTGGCAAAATGCAGCATTGACAGTATATTCTATAGGATAGACAATATCATAGTGGCTTCCATGTGAAAAGCACAGCAAAACCTAGAAAAGTTAAAAAGAAAAAATTCAGCTGTAAAAAGTGACAAAAAAATGAGTATCACCTCCAAAGCAACACACTACTTTGGCACATGGAATTATTTCCAGCTCCTATTTTAAGAATACTTAACTGGATATTGAGGCTGGCCCTACACATGAGGAAGAGTGAGTTAACAGAATGAACCACTTCAGAATGAAGGTGAAGGATCACTTAAAAAAAAAAGTGCTCTCCTACATTAAAGACTTCAAGCAAACGCAGAAACCACAGAGTGGGTTAGAAATTCTCTCTCACTAAGGGAGCATTCAACCTGACCTGATAGCCCAGGTTAGTCTGATCTCACCAGATCTTGGAAACTAAGTAGGATCAACCCTGGTCAGTATTTGGAAGGGTGGCCGCCAAGGAATTCCAGGGTTGCTTTCAGAGCCAGGTAATGGTAACCACCTCTAAATGCCTCTTGCCTTGCTATGAGTCGGCAGCAACTTGACTGCAAAAAGGGGGAAGCATTCAAAGGTGGTATCTTCCCCCCAAAGTGGTAGTCCATTTTAATTACCTCATTAGATTGTATAAGCAATTTTGCCACTTCAAAATGTATACATATTATATTGCCTCACTCTTCTTTTAAATTCAGAACTAGTGTATCATTATCCACATCTAAAATATTTACTTTAAAACAGCTTTTAAAAAACTGGCATTATAACATATTACTTTGACATTCCAATACATCCTACCTAAACTGTATGAAATTCCACACCTTGCAAATCTAAGCCTGGACTAACTGTACAAGCATCCTACACAATTATCTGGAGATGTAATATTTTCTACAGCACCAATAAAACATGGCACAATGTGAGAAACACACTCTAGGTTTTTTTGCAATATACCATTAGTTGTTGGACCTCAGTGCTCAGGAAATGTGCAGCTGTGCACAATCCCAGAGTTGTACCTTGGCAATGGGCGAGGTGCGTCTATTGAGAAGTATGGAGCATCCACTCTAGGTAGGAAAAAATGTCCTGGGCCAGGCCTACCAAAGTGTTGACACTATTTAATATCAGTTGCAGGATTGGTTTGCTTAGAATCAACCATACCTTATCTGGAAAGCCATTTTCAGTTACGTGTGAAGGAACAGAATCTGGTTCTTGATATATTATAAAATCTTTCCTGGCAGAACACACAAAGAAAAAAACTATTTAAAATCCTGGCTTTAAATAACTCATTAGTAGCACTAAGGTAAAGGAACCTGGATGCAAGCATTTATGACCATCCTTTGAAAACCGTTTAGACAGAGCTGTGTGAATATAATACAAAAATATCTACCAAAGTCTTGCACAATTTTGCCACCAGCTCATGCCAAGAAGTACAACTTAGCAACTGCTACTAACTGGAACACCACTCCTTCAGCCCCCCCTCCTTCCCACAAGTTTATATTCTTTCATATATATCTACTACATCCCTATCAATCCTTCTGTACTTATCCTATAATCATTTTATACTTAATCTGCTTTCACATCTTTAGTATATTTCCAAAAATCTCAACGCACCATTTTTTAAAAATTGTTTACACCAGTTTGGACTGGATCCTAAGTAATCTTTTGCAAGGAGGAGGACACTTCTACTAGCATGGGGGGGGGGAGATTTTCACTAACTCCCTACTCCCACGTGAAGATTTCCCCCCACCATCTACTTCTCCCAAGAGCCCACAGAACCCTACCCCCAGAAGAAGTACTGTATCCCACAGCCTTTACTGTGGGGGCCCAAAGACCCTGCTGTTCTTTTCTTGTCATCCCACCCCTAAACCTACACGGACACTGAAGCTGGCAAGAAAGAGTGCTTAGGGTCTTATTTAACCTGTGCTGCAGCTGGGGCAAAGTGAACTGATTTGTATGTCATTACAATATCCACAAGGGCTGTGGATCTCTGGTGTGCCATATATTTGCTCACCACCCTCACATTTTAATTAGGGTTGACTTCCTCAGAGAAGGCTTTATGCAGGGCCTATCAGAGCAGTCTTTAACGGAAGTGAGGAATGTATAGACATGGTATCTGATGCGCACACAAACAGGTCACAAAGGGCTTTAAACGTCAGCACTAGTCTCTCGAACCAGAAGCTAACATCTAGTCCAGGTAAGTGCTGTGATACAGCTGAGTGGTTGCTGATGTCATCTGAGACAGACTGTATATAATCACTGTTCATTTATAGTAACAAGAAGTCACATTATTCAACATAAATTTGACAAGCCACCTCCCCCCCACACACACTTCTGCTGTCCTGGATTATGTATCAGACCAAAGTTAAGATTCCTGTTTGTACTTATACACATATTAGTAACACATCAATGGTTATCCAGTTACTGTCAAATGTACATTGTACTGTGCAAATGTACAGATGATATTGACTCATGCTGAAAACAGACCTGCCAGTTTTTGTTGGTTCTTTAACAGACTGATTTTTTTTAATATAATATCAGTTAGATTGTTGGAAGAAAGTTGTTTGAAATAAATAAGACTTTCCCTTCAAGTATATTTACAGTTAGGGATGGAGATAAAACCATCCTTCAAAGCATCCTTTTCCTGTGGGAGCTTCTCTAACAGCGTTCCTGCTATTGCTAGATCCCATTCACATGGTATTTTTCTAGCAAGCTAAAGTCTATTCTTCACACTCTCTCCTGTGGATATATCAGAGATATTTCTTACTTGTACATAAGAGAAAGGGCACTTATTTCCACTTGTCCAACCCATTCCTGCATCAAAGAGAAAGAAAAAGACATGCAGTAAAGTATATCACTATGTAAGAACATATGCATGTTAAGTTACAGCACCATCAAGAACTAACATTTTCTGTGTTCTTCACTGAAATCATGGCAGTTCCTCAGTGACACACACGTGTGCAGGCACACACAAACTACCCATGTCACCAACTGTATGATGTCTCAGATAATGTGTTCACTGCATTTAGTATCAGAATTACAGTTCTGGCACTTTTGCAAAAAACAAAACAAAACTGTAATTCAAATAATATAAAATAGATTTCCCCCAATTTCCATCCATCCCCCTCTAACTGCAACTGTAGGCTGTACAAAGATAACGGGACACAAATGCTATACGGGGGTGGCCAAACTTGCTTAACGTAACAGCCACACAGAAAAAATGTCAGATGTTTGAGAGCCGCAAGACATAAATATTACACACACATTTTTATTGAAAAATATGCAAATTTGCTTTTTATTAACATTAAATTAGACTGTGTGAAAGAGCCGCATGCAGCTCCTGAGCTGCAGTTTGGCCACCCCTGCGCTAACATCTTGACTCAAAGCCCTGTCCTGTATTGCTCTCTCTTTCCTGCTCATGCTCCTCTCTAAGCCTCATTCCCTCCCCCACCCCTTCCTCACTGAGAACCGCACATACACCCAATGGAATTTGTTGGGCACAAAAAACAAAGCTAAAAAACCAACAAAATTACTTCCATTTTTAAAGTCAAAGTGAAAATTCCAGAAGTCATTATAGCACTGAAAACATGTCCTTGCCCCCAACCACACAGTAGCCTGAGGCAAAGTTCCCTCTAACCTGTGGAGTCTTGTGAGCAAAAATTCTACTTTGTGAGCTACTGGCATTAAAGTTGTGAGCGAGCAATTTGGCTACTGCATTAAAACAGTTTGGTCTGGAGCCATCCTTCCTGAGCTAAGACCAAAATGTCTGAGCCGGAGGCTATAAAAATGTGAGCTAGCTCACACTAACTCAGCTTAGAGGGAACACTGGATGGGAGTACAATTGCATTCCACCCTCTTATCCTACCCCTAGTCCTCTGAGACTACTCAAGACTGTGGCAGGAGGGGGGGGGGGAGAGACAGGGGAAACCACAGTTGTGACAGAATAGAGAGACCTGTATTCCCACTGCAGAAATGATGTCCCTTACTCAAACGCTGCAGAATTTCCTCGCCCCCACCCTAGAGAAGGGAACAGCTGCATTTGGAAGACAACATTCCAAGAATGGAATGGCACCTTATGTTCCAGGTGTACTGAATTCTGTCCTCCTGTAGCAACTTGCAGCCAACACAGCAAGGAAGGGGTATTGCCAGAAGACAAAGCTTTTGCAGAGACTGGGGGGAGGGTTTAAACTCATTTGCATATGCCTTAACTCATTTTAAACATGCCTGCCCTTTGTCAGGGGGTGTGGCAAATGAGTTATGCAAATAAGCTCCTGCACCTCTTTTTCTAGGAAATGACCCCTGGATATGTAAGTTACCCATGTCCACCTTCCACAGAAGCAAACCATGTCTCTAGCTGTATCAGGTCTCTTAAAGTATATCTGAGGGAACTGTTTTAATTAATTAGAAGCCCCATGGCAAAAATGCCACCAAAATGCATTTGGTAATTTACATGCAACAATACATTTCTGCCTTTGAGGACCACTTTTGCCTCTTCCTTTTTATTTTCCAGCTTGCAGAACAGTCAGTGTAGGAGAGGCAGAACAATCCCCACATTCCAGCTTGCAGGGACTCAGAAGTTCCTTGCAACTCACAAGACTTGTAGCTACAACCTACAGACCCTTTTGTAGATTCTGCCACCAACCCCATACAGAGTATCATTTCCAGCAGGACTCAGAGAACAACTCATGAGTAGCAGCAAAACATTAGACTGACTCATAGAGGTTTCAGTGTCAACTTTTAGAAGTTTTTACAACAAACTGCATACACCAGTAGTGATTAGGTACAGTTTTATCTTGAAATGTTATAGAAACTTAATCCAAGTATACATACCTGTGGGTTTTCTAGGCTTTTCAAATATTCTTCAAACGGTCCCTCTATAAACTTTAAAACATAGTAAGAAAAGATTTTACTAGGAGCACTATGATGCAAAGACTGCTTAATTTCTAGAAAGAGACATACCAGGATTCAAATCTGCCTGCAAGCAACACCTGATCTGGAAATCCTAATCTAATCCCTAGTTCGAAGGTACTGATTTACTCAGCGGGGAGGGACACGGACTCTGAGCTTTATTCCAATGTCATATATTTCAGAGGTGAGTCCTGGCATCAAAAGAAACTATCAGGGTTCGAACACAGGCAAGCCCCAGCACAAATTAAACACTGCCTACAGCTCAAGGTATTCAATAATTTCATCACTGTACTAGCCAAACCTCTGTATTGTTTTGTGCCTATGTAGCATTTATATAGCACTGACAGTGGTCAATGTGCTTCACACACATGATCTTATAATTGAGTTTACAGCAGAGACAAAATGATTCAGGGACCTCTCCTCCTGGATCACAGCTTTTCCTCTTAGCTCCTATACCATACCAGCTCATGATCAGAAAAAGAGCCTACCACAGTAAAAGATTTCTCTCTCATGCAAAGAATAAGATGCAGCTCAGGATCGGCTGGGGCGGAGGGAGCTGAGAGCTCCACACCACCTCGGCTGGTGAACATTTTCCCCCTGGGTTTCTTCTTCTTGGATCTATTAGACCCCAAAAAATTCAGGATTCCCGAAAAATCCCAATGGTATTGGGATCCAGGATTTTTTGGGAAACCTGAATTTTTTTTCAGTTCAATATATCCAAACCGAAAAAATGGGGGAAATTGCACACCCCTACATGAAAGAGTCTTGGGTCATAAACCAGGCTTAGGTCTAGCTCTGAAACTTGAGCAAATCTCAGAGATACACTCCAATGACAAGCATCAAGCAAATAAACCCACATGTACAACATGCAGCTGTCCATTGCCAAGTTATGCAACTTGGTCCATTGCCAGCCACTCCCATGGTAGAGTGTGTTGCTAGGTTTACACATGCAGGATAACAAGACCACCACTGCAGGCACTGGATTCCAGCTCTGAATGCTCCTTTGCATAAGAATTCCATGCAAACAGTAAACTACCACAGCAAGCAGAAAGCTTTGCTCCTCTCCCCTCTGCTCGCTGCATTTGTTTTCCATTTGCAGGGAGTTTCTAATATATATGGGAACCTCCCAAAATGCAATCCACCACCTGGGCTCTGAAGTGGTGCAGTCTATTCTACGGTATCACCCCATTCAGCTTAGAGATGCATGAATGAGACCCTATTTCAGTGCATACATGCATGGGGGACAGCCCAATGTAAAAGAGACACCACGGCAAGTACCAAGTCCCGGGCCAGGGGGCTGCTTCTGCCTCAGCTGGTTTCACAAATCAGGCTGCCAGGTGAAAGGCCAGGTGAAAAGAAGACCCACAAGCAAGATGTTGGACACTAATGTTACGGTGGGTGGGTAAAAGGACTCATAAGATGGAAGCCATCCCCAAGAATCATTATTAGTGACAAATACTAAGAAAACCAAACACTCACATCAAAAGAAAAAGGAGATAGCAGAGGACTGAGGGAATGAGAACGGCGAATCCTAAAAAAGGAAGATAATAGGCGTGGAGTATGCAGGAAGTAAAACCATGGCAACTGCTCTCTGAAACCACTATAGCATGCCTGCAACTGATATAGATACTTTCATAAGAACATGAGAGATGCCAATGTTGGATCCGGCCAAAGGCCCATCCAGTCCAACACTCTGTATCACACAGTGGCCAGAAATACCAGTGCCAACAGGAGGTCCACCAGTGGGGCCAAAAACAGAATGCATCATTCCTCCTCCTCATGACAAAAGAGGTGTTTCAGATATCAGAGGAATACAGTGACCTGTAAGTATCTACAAACCAGTGCAGTGAAGTAGTCCACTGGCAGCCAGAAGATAAGCGAAAGCATAGAGCTATCACACTTGCAAAGCAACATGGTAAGAAACAGCCCGGGCCATGGTGACCATCCATAAGGCAAAAGTGCTTATTTACCGCTTCAAACTTCTCTCTGTTTTTCCGCAGGTAGTTTATGCAGGACATCCTAATGGCAATATGCTGAGCCTGAGAGTGGAAAACCTGGGGAAGATTTTAAAATTAAAAGAAGAGTGTTAGAGGAACTGCTTGAAAAACTCCTGGAATTTCAGAGATGGAGCCTGGGGAGGATAGGAACATCAATGGGGTACAATGCCATAAAGTCCACCACCCAAAGCATCCATTTTCTCCAGAGGAACTGATCTGTGGTTTGGAAATGAGCTATAAATCCAGGGGATCCCCAGGTCTCACCTGGAGGCTGGCATCCCTACTCTAAAGGTAAGTCAGTAGTATCCCCAAGCAGGGGAGGACAATGGACACTGGGAGTGGCTTGCCTGAGTTCCTTTTGTGAGTTAACGAGAGAGATTCCAAAAAGTATTTGGTCCCTTAGGTCTACCATAACCCAGTATTCAGGCTAAAGCTTTAGGATTCAAGCTTGATTTCCAAGTACCACTGGGACAGCCAACCGAAACGAAATGACCGATATTGTCAAGCTTCAACCAGTCGAGTCGAAGTACACAGGCACCACATGTGCAGCTCCCACACTGGGGATTTGTCGAGGCGCTGAGTCATTACAGCGACAGGAAGCTGCCCTAACTTAAGGCAGCCCTCGGGGCATTCATTCACTCTGTCCAAGTAGGCAGCCTCTGCCCCATCCGCCAGGCCCGGTTCTGGCTGTAACTTCAACTCAACGCTCCACAAGTGCGCTGGCCAGAATAAGGCCAGTGGGGGAGTTTCACGTTGTAAAGGCTGCAACACTCGGCGCTTGTAACCTCAAGCCCTTTCTGCACCCCCCTACGTGATTCGTTGAAACACTGGGCGCCAAGGAGCGGCGGGCGAGACGCACCTGAAATGGGAGCGAGGACGGGTTGAACGCCCAGGCAAGCGGAACAATACCTGAGGAAGGGCTGGGGAAGCTTTGTTTCCTTAGAAACAAGGGAAATGCGTCCGGCAGACCGAGGCCGAACACCGCAAGTTCCTTGAAGAAGCGAACATTGGGAAGGGCCGGAGAGTCTCTTCCCCGGGTCGGCCTCTTTCCCAAGGTGACTACACCCTAAACTGCTTTCCATTGGAAACAGCGGAAGGCGCTGCTTCAAAAACAGAAATCAGAAAACTTCTCCACGCGCCTTGCCCAATCCCTTGCTGCAGGAGACACGCGCAGCAGCCCCCGCCGGGTAAAGTCTGGAGGGCGTCAGATCTCACTGCGAAGCAAGGCAGGCCTCTGCCCTCGCGCGCAACTTCTTTCCCGGGGACACTTTGCACGCCGCCTGCCTGTTTCCCCACCTTTCTCCCACCCCAAGGCGCATGCTGGCCTGGCACACACACACACACACCCGGCCTTTGCTCTCCAGAGCAAGTTACCTGCTCCGCCACGGCTCGGAAGAGGCAGGATCCGTCCTTCGCAATCCTCTTGCGGTATAGTCCCTGAGATCGCAAGTAGCTGTCCATAGCCAAGTCGGCGGGAGACTCCTCGCCGTTTCCCGGGTAGTTCTGCTCTTCCTCGCCTCCTGGCTTAGCAGCAGCCTCCATGTTTATTTATTGCTTAAGGTTGCAGAGAAATCGCATCACTTCCATTAGCCCCACATGGTATTAAAAAGAAAGAGGGGGGGGGTGAAGGAAACTGCTAGGAAGGGCAACCAAGAGCGAGGCGAGGATGCAGCCACCTAGCGCGCAGCAGGAACCGGACTCGCGCTTGCAGGTCGCATGTGGGATTCCTGCAAAGAGGCTCCACTTTTACTGCAGGAGCCGGTGGCGCGTGCCGCCGCTTGGCCTGGCCCGAGCTCTCGCTTCCAAGCCGAGAAGCCTCAGCGCTTTTTCCCTCCGAATGCGGTGTCTCGACGGCTCCTTTTGCACATCACGAAACTCACAAGTGGAAACAAAAGAGAAATGAAACAGGGCTGTTTTCACTGAAATGGGCAGCCAAAAGTTTGTTTTCACTTTCAGACCAAACGGACCACCCAGGTGCTCCTGGGAGTTGTAGTTGGACGGCAGCAGGAAGTGAGAGCGTGGGGAGGGGAGGAGAAAAAAAAGGGTTGGGAGGAAATGTCCCCTCGCCAAACAGGATTGTTTGGTGTGCTTCCGCAAAAGGGTGTCTAATGAGAGCCGCAGTTTCTGTGCTGTAACTATGCGGAACTTTTTTTTTTCTTTAAAGGTATTTTTAAAGGTATGCTCTTTCCATTCGAAGGTCAAAACTACATATCTGTGCTGCGTGTGCCTGCAAAATTTTGCTAAGCAACTAGAAAATGAAACTCCGCCGCTGGTACTAGTCCCATTTATTTATTTATGTTATTAAGTCTGCCTTTCTCACTGAGACTCAAGGGCAGATTACACAGTTTAAATCAAACACGGTCAACAGGATGGGACATCCAATACAATACAATAAGGTTTGGATTGCAGTAATTTGAAATAGAGCTGAAACAAAGAAAGCATTTAAACATGGCACATTAAAAATTAATTCACAATTTATTAATTTCTGTAATGAACGATAATACAGGTTATTGACCTTATTTTCCATCAATCTACTGTATTATTCACCCCCAAAATTAATAATAGAAAGTGTTCTCAGACTAATCCACTATCTTCTGTTATACCTAATTACTAACCAAGAATTGCTTCCTATTCTGAATCCTATTATCACACCCGAACATGGCACATTAAGTGATGCAGAAATTGCACAGTGGGAACAAACAGCAATAGACTACACAGTAGCATTATGCAGCCCCTTTACCAGACCATCTTTATGAACCATTTCATTACAATGCAGTCCTATTACCTGTGTGACAAAGGCCTCCTGAATAATTTAGTTTTGTATTGTTTGTGAAAAGCCATTATACTGGGAGCCTTGTCAGGCAGGCCATTCCATAAGGTGGGGCCCATAACAGAGAATGCACCTGTAGGGGCAGTTGTTGATTTTGCCCATTTGCAAGGGGGCACATGCAGAAGGCCCTGCTCAGATGAGCAAAGCTGTGGTGGCGTGGCAGAGCATTATATGTGATAGCCTATATCTTGAATCGAGCCTGGTAACTGATGGGCAGCCAGTGGAGTGACTAAAGAATGAGAGTATTTAGTTTCTCTTCAGTACTTAAAGACCACCATGAGGGAGACCCAGTGCCCACAAGCAGAGGAGACAATGGACTGTGTCATTTCGGACTGCAGGTGATGAATTTGAATGTTTCTTTGTGTCTGTGTGTGTTAAACTCTCTGTGAAATAGAAACTAGCACACCCCAGGAGAAAGCGGGTACCCCTCGCTTCGTTTGATGTGCTGTATTCTATTTGTAAGGAGTTTTTATTACAGGGGAATATTCCAAAGTGTGACCCTCTACCTCACATTTAATGGTGCCTCCTATTCCACAGCCTCATTTCCCTGTGTGTGTGAACCACAGACTTGCTGGAGACAAGGGTAGTTTTGCATCCAAGCATAAATCTCAAGAGGCAACTGAATTTGCCTCTGAAATTCCAGACATTTCCCATCAGCTTTCAGACCTGTGGGGATCTCAGGCCCAAGGAGAAGTTTTGACCAGCCTCCCAGGCGTACACCTTCAAGCCTCTGTTAAATTTCTTAAAATCAAAAAACACAATATTAATTGCTTCAAGTGAAGCTGATTCATTTTATGGGAGAATCTCAAATGTACATTTAGCAACAGCATAGAGCACAACAGAATGTTTAAGGTTGCTGATAAGCTCAGAAGATTCAGATCTAGAGACAATTCGGACTATAATGAATAAGAACAAAGTTGCTTGTGGAAAAACAGATATAAAGGATATTTCTAAAAGAATCTCTGCTTACTGGGATAGTGTTTATACTTAGATTTATTAATACATTTTAAAGACCTGGCCTAAATCCAAAGCTGGATCCAGTGGTCCATGGCAGGGGTCCCCAGTGTTTTTCAGTCTGTGGCCACCTTTGGAATTCTGGCACGGGACTTCCGGTTTACAAAGCAGCGATGGCGGTCACTCTCCCCGAGCCACGGGAGGGCGAATCGCACACCAGCGGCTTGGAGGAGTGACACCCCCGTGGAGCCTTTGCAATAGGCTCCAGGCCAGAGGGCTTTTGAGGGGTAGCCTCTTCGATGGCATAATGCAGGAGAATCGAGGCTCCCCTCCGCCCTGACGGTCCAGTCGCTGTGTGGCCTTCGGGCACAAGCTGGTTTGACCGGGACAAGCACCGGAGATCGAGCGGAAGATCATTAAAACGCAGCGTGGTCAGAGAATCTGACCAACAATGAACGTGAGTTCTGAATAAAACAGACTTTTTTAAAAAAGCGGATCCCCCCCCCGTGCGGGAAGAAGCGGATGCAAAGAGGGACGCCTCTTATGCGAATAACCGATAAACGACGCGAAGGGGGGAAAGAGGGGAGGAAAGTAGCGTGTGTGTTGTGAGAGACTTACTTGATTTTTTACATCGTGAGCGAGTTTCTCGAGTCGGGAGAAAGCGATGGGAAGTGTAAACAAATCGGAAAAATGGCGGCCCAGCGTGCAAAGTTAAAAACAAAACCGCCAGGCAGTCAGAGTCCCAAACCAGAAGAGGGTGCAGACGTCATTAAACTACTAGCGGATATGCTCAAGTCAGTGATGTAACAACTCAATGGTATTAACCAGCAACTGACTGTGATGAACAAGAACTTTGCATCTCAACAGCTCCAGCTGAATGAAATGGAAAAGAAAGTGGAGCAGGCTAATGAGAAAATTCAAGAGATGGACACCACAAGTAAGAAGTTGAAGAAAAGACTGGGAGAGGTGGAAACAAAGCAAAATCTTCAAGAAAACCGTGTACTGCAACTACAGATGGAAAAAGCCAATATGATTCTCAGGTTCCAGGGAGTTCCTGAAGCAGCGAAAGAGGACCTGAGGAGTTTGCTTAGCGAGATTATCATTCCAGTGATAGGCTCTACAGCGGATAAACTAGTAAAAGATATGGAGGTGGCCTATAGGGCATACCCCAATTATATTTTAAAAAATAGCCTACCTGGAGAAATTGTGATCAGATTCTCAATATGACAGACTAGAGATGCTATTCTGAAAGCAACATCAGCAACTCAACTGAAAATGGGAAATGTAACAATCAAGACGCTAAAAGACATTCCATTTGAAATTCGGCAAAAGAGGAAAAATTACAAAGATTTGATTGCTTTTCTTCAAAGTAATGGAATAACGTACAGATGGGTGATCCCGGAAGGTGTCATCTTTAAGATCAACAATAAAAGAGAGAAGATAGACTCCATTTTCAAGGCTAAAGAGTTTTTGCGGCGTCAGCTTGGAACAGAGAAAGAGTCTAAGGAGGAAGAAATGAAATCCAGTGACTCTGCTACCTCTGGAACGGAAGAAGACTCTGCTACAGAAACGCATGCTGGACCTGCCAAAGTTGTCTACGATTTTAGAGACAGAAAGCCGAAGTAAAGGCAGAAGGACTTGGAAACTGGCCTTTTGAACACAAAGATGATCAGAAAGTTCTCTCATAACAACTAACATAATAACATATAAACATGGAAGATGAGCAGGAACTCTACAAGTATATTGTGATACTAACACTTGTGGTACTAACATTTACACTAACAGAAATAAGATCTCCTCCTCTTGGGTTTTTAGTTTAGTGTGGTTATCTTTCCTTTATCCCTAGTTGTAGCTCACCTTCCTAATTTTCTTTGTAGTTTGTAGTTCAATGCAAAATAAAAAAAAATATTCAACTGGCTTTCGAGCAAGGGAAACCTTTACCTTTACCTATTCTGGTGGAAGTTGACTTTTTAGCTGTCTGTAAGATTTATGCTGGAGGGTGTGCAATAAATAACTTGAAAACATCTTGTTAAAGTTGGTTCTATTGAATAAGTGTGTTACAATATCCAATCTGAAATCAAACGAGGTAGCAAAGCAGAATTATTAAAGGGCAACATTTTCCCAGTGTCTCCACTTAACAGGAGGCCCTTTGCCTGTCTATGGGCTTGGGAGATGCCCAGTCATGTGGGCCCCTGACATCAAGCTAGGTAATGGAAAGGGGGACCAATTTTTAAAAAACTTTCCAGGTAATAATGTAGCAAAAAGTAGAGTGTGAAAAGTTAGGCATAGCAGTCAGCATCCCCCCCCCCAATTGTCTATGCTATTTGATATTAGTGGTGGGAAAAAGTATATCAAATTTCTGTCTGTCTACCCATGTATACATGACATACCTCTGTAGAGGGCAAATGAATATAGGCAGAAACCAGAAACAGACTTGCTGCCCTCTCTCTTCCACTTGCATCAAAGTATGCTGGTCCCAGCCCCTCCTACACACAATCACTCAAACATGCACCTAAGCACATACAAGTAGTTTGGACATTGGATCCCTCTCCGTGACTGGGAACAAATGCTGGAGCCAGTACATATGCAGCTTGTACACAGGTGGTTGCTATTGCACATGGGAGGAATAGGGCCATTGTGCTCATTCCCCTTCCGCCACTATCTGTATCGGGCCTGCACACAAAATGTAAGGTCTACAGGGTTATTGAGATTTTTAAATCCAAAAACTGGGAAATGCCCAAGAGCTGTTAAGATTACTATTTTGCTGAAAAGTAAAATAGACAGCTGTTAACTAGGCAGGATGGAAAGAGGGAAGATATTTCTTCTTAGATAACTATTAAGCAGTATACTAATCAAACAGCCTTCCCAATGGATGTTTTCTACATTTAAAATGGGAGCCAGTAATGTCAAGCGGGTCATACCTCAGACATTAGTGCCAATATAGGCCAGGCTGATGCCAAAACTATGCTGAGTCCATACAAGCAAACAACACAACATAACATTATATAAATTCAAGGCTGTGCCATTACGTGTTTGACTGCAGGTATCTTGCATGACTGCAGGTGTC